AACCCCCTGCCATAGGCAGGGACACCTTCCACTAGAGCAGGTTGCTTCAAGTCCTGTCTAACCTGGCCTTGAACACTGCGAGGGATGGGGGAGCCACAGCTTCTCTGGGCACCCTGTGCCAGTGCCTCACCACCCTCACAGGGAAGAACTTCTGCCCAAGATGTCATCTCAATCCCCCCTCTGGCAGGTTAAGCCATTCCCCCTTGTCCCGTCCCTACAGGCCCTTGTCCAAAGGCACTCTCCAGCTTTCTTGTTGGCCCCTTTATGTACTAGAAGCTGCTCTAAGGTCTCCCAAGCCTCCTCTTCTCCAGGCTGAACAAGAAGTAGGTCTCCTCTCTCAAATATCTTTCTCCAACTGTATGCATCCCAAATCTGCCTGAAGAATATTACTGTAGTACAAAATTAAATGCACAGAGGTTACTGCATGCCAAAACTAAGACTGTCCAACTTCGTATTTGCCTTGTGGATGATTAAGTTAATGGCTAATTAAACCAATGGAAAATCGACTAAAGGAGTTTATCTTGTCAAACAGAACTCCAAAGATTTAAGCAATGTTTTTTCCTCAAGTGCTAACAGATTTTTAATCAGTACAATGCTAATAATTCAGTAAAAAAGGAGTTTATTCATGGTATTCAGTCAGTTCCTTACAGAGGGATCAATGTCTTCACTGCTAAATTATGTCACCTAAGATTAGCTTAGAACTACACCCCATGAGCAGAGCCTCAGATGCTATGATCTTACCTCACTGTTATCCTCTCTTTCGCATGCAATATGCAATGCACTCCTTCCACCTTCTTCAGGGACGGGACCTTTATAGGAGGAAAAGTACTCTCGTGGTGGTCCTGCTTCATTTTTCAGTTGCAAAGGAGCACCACCTTTCAAGTTAGCTTCTCCGTCTTGAGGCTGAGGAATCTAAGTGAAACAATGTGCACATTTGCAACACAGCTTAAAGACAAGTTAACAGGAAAAAACACCTGCTTGGTCACCCATTGGTCTGGATCTCCATCATGGACAAGGCTTGCTCAGCCCCACAAAAACAACCACCACCCTTTTTCTACTTTCTTCTTTACATTCATGTCTCATTGGCTTTCAAACCACACATTAGGAAGTTTAGTAAAACCACTGAAGAAGTCTGGGGATGGCAAATTTGAGAGATAGATGTTAATAACTTTCACTGGGCCAAATGATACAGAGTTGGGAGAGGGAAGCAGCTAGCTTTCAGGCACAAAGGACCTGCCTTGAGTGGGGCTCATTCACATATTCATTTAAGCTCTAGGAATAAAGGGTTACCAGAACAATATAAAAGTTTCATTTGAAAAAGTAAATCTTGCCTAGACTGTGTCTGAGCATTCTGTAACTAAGTACTGTTGATAAACAGGTATTAAGTTCTCCTGTTTACTACTTAAGGACAAAGTACTAAAATAAAAACTGAGAAAGCCATTGAAATCTCCCTGTGCTGCAGACGTTCACTTTAGTCATTGTCATAAAAGACAAAATTTATCAGTCTAGTTACATAAGTCAGCCCATTTTTTTAAGTGATTGAGACCTGATGGTATGCCAGGAAGCTGGCCAATGTCATTGCGAGGCCACTCTGGTTACCTCTGAATGGCCATGGTGAAGAGAGGGCGTTTCTGAGGAAATACTTCACATTTCTGGCAAAATGGAAGGAAGAACCAAGGAACTACAAGCTGAGCAGCCTCACTTTGACCTATAGGAAACTGATGGAAAAGTCTTTTGAGAAGCTACCTCAAGACATACTACAGATAAGAAGTCAAATGGAAGCAGTCAGCAAAGGAGAAATCGTGCCTGACACACGATAGCCTTCTACAGTAAGATGATCACCTTGGTGAAAGATGGGAAAGCGATGAATGTTGTTTAGCTTGATGTTATCAAGGCTCTCAACACTGCCTCCCATAACATCCTCATAGACAGGATGAAGTATGGACTAGGCAAATGGGCAATGAGGTAGATAATGTGTTGTGATTAGCAGCACTAAGTCCAGCTGTGCTATACCCCAGGGAAGATACCGGGGACAATAATATTTAATGTCCCTCAATGCTGGGACAGAGTGCATCCTCTGCAAGAACACAGATGATACAAAACTGTGAAGAGTTTTTTAATGCACCACACAGTTGTGCTGCTTTTCAGACAGACCTGGGCAGGCTGTCCAGAATTTGGTGGAGAGGCATCTTATTAAATTCAACAAAAGGAAACTGTTGTATTCCTCCCCTGAACGTGGGGAGGACTAACTTCAGGCACTAGTACATGCTGGGGTAGATCAGGTGAAAAAAACCTTCCAGAACAGGACCCTGGAAGTCTTGGTGGACAAGCTGAACATGAGCCACTAGTATGTCCCTGCAGCAAAAGTGGTCACAGCCTCCTTGGCTGCATGAGGAAAAGCGTTGCCACTGGAACAGGTTGCCCAGACAAGTTTTGGAGTCTCCACATCTTCTTGGAGATACACAGAAACCAACTGGACTAGATCCCGAGCAATCTGATATAACTGATCCTGCTTTGAGCAGGGCTATCGTACTAAAGAGTGAGACTTCAGAGGTCCCTTCCAACCTTTCAACTGTTCTGTGACTACACTATTTTGTTACTACAGCTTAAAGTAATTTCTCAGGTAACAAACGACAGAAAAAGCACATATTGCTGGTATAGGTCCAACAGCAGTAGAGAATTATCATCAAAAATGGCAACTCTAACTAAAAAGTGCTATAGCACCAAAAATGTCTACTCCTAGGCTGACCTGCAACCTGGAGGTGCAGCAGATACTGCAGGACTGTAGCAAAGACAGCCTGAGTTCAATGAAAAAAGAAACAAGGAAAGAAACGAATTATGAGGCCAAATCCATGCAGACGAAACAAGCAAGTCCCATGACAGACATATATATCTTCAGGCATTTGAGTATGGACCTCTGTCTGGGGACAGGTGATGAGTCAACAGAGAGCTTGTGGGTCAGGGCCAAAGGGAGAACAGTGTTGGGGGACATCACTGTGGGGATCTCTTACAGGCCAACTGATCGGGACTCTGTGGATGAAGCACTCCACAGACAGATTGGAGCAGCCTCACGCTCACAAGCCCTTGTCCTCATGGGGGACTTCAACCTTCCTGACATCTGTTGGAGGGACGGTACAGCCTGGCACAAGCAATCCAGAAGGTTCCTCGATTGTGTGGAAGACAACTTTCTCTTGGAAGTAATAGAGGAGCCGACAAGGAGAGGTGCCATGCTTACCTCATACTCACCAGCAGGGAGGGGCTGGTTGGGAATG